CATCTATGAGAGTATTCCTTCATAGTTTTAGGGTCATTACTTGCTGAAAAAGCATTGTATATTCTCAAAGGCAAATTGCACATGAAATGTGCTTCATTACGCGAAGGAGATGCGTCATTGTTGCAATTAAAATTACATTGTAGAACAGGAATGCGCTACTATCTTAAACTCATGCTATATATTATGGGGAAAAGTGTCCCCTTCAAGGGAGGGCTGTACATCTTTGAAGGACACCCTGCATCTCTTAGACAAAAACGTGATTTTTTGCAAGGGATAGTGGAAGGATTCGTGCAACAATTAAAATTAATGAGATGAATCTCTTATTCCTGAATTGTGTGTACTTACAATTTTGATCCTTTGCCTTATGACTCTAACCTTATGGATTTTTGGGAGAAGGAAAGTATGTGCTTAAAGGTGCAATTTGTTCGTATCTGGTTCAATTTCATTTAGGATTTGCAAAAAACAATGCCATTTATATCAATTTTCTGCCGCTCACAACAGGCCCCTCCCTTTAAATTACAGTAAGCAACTTGTTCGGCAATATTCAAAATTCAAATGGAAAAGTGAACTTATGAATTCGTTTCCAAATAGGCAGCTTGCGGAGTCCCCGAAACACAAATTAATCACACTGTATTCGCTTTCAATTAGGCAATTCGTTCGGCAATACTGCCAAGAGTCCCCCAAAAGTATGCTGGCCTCAATAATGTCAAGTATGTTTGAGGGTTATTCATGTCAACATTATATGGGTATGTGACAAAATTGGATGCCAACCTTGGATACCCCTGGGCCAACAGGAGGGCCCGGCTCAAAGCACAAACGGTGGCTGTGAAGCTGATCACATCCTCGTTGGGCACGGATGCATCAGTGGAATGCATGGGGCAACACATTAAGTAAGAAACAACCAATTATATGATATGATATGATATGGTATGATGTGATATGATATGATATCACATATGATGTCACATATGGTATCACATATGATATCAAGTATGATATCATATGATATGCTGTCATATGAAATGCTATGGAATGATATAATGTGATATGATGTGAAATGAAATGATATGATATTATATAGTATTACAGTATATGAAATGCTATGGTATGATATGAAAAGACATTACATGATACAATGATATATAAATAAGGGACACACACATTGCAATATATATATATATTGCCCATCATACTGTACATCTGTATAACACCGATATACAATGATATACACATATCATCAAATAATATCTACCCCTGTACTGTACATGCTCAGGTCTCGTTGGCAGGACTGGTGATGGTTTGTGGATTGGAGGGGCAGTCTGCAGTTGAAACTCTAGTTTTTCCCATTGAAAATTTGGATTTCCTGCAGATTTTCCCGTGACATCCTGGGAATCAATCAAATATCGAAAGTATTGCAACATACGGACTGAACCCACAAATTCATACCAATTCAAAACACAAACAACTGGGGGCCCCTGGCATCCAAGCCAGACTCTGACCTCATCTGGAGGGCGCTGGTTGAAGATAAACAGGGCCGTTCACCCAAAAATAGTGATCATCTGCCACCAACAATCTACGGTGCTGGTTATTGCTGGTTGGTATCCCTCTTATTGTTGCTTTTCAACTGCCAGAAGCAAACATATTGAAACCACTTTTTGTTGTAGATGTGAGCTCAAAAACGTGACTCAGCTTGGATACCCTGAATAAGAAGTTGTGAATGTGGGGTACCAGCTGGTCCTTGATACAAGTATGAGAAACCCATTGGTCAACATTTGATCAACCATTCGCCAGTCGCTCCACCGAGCTAACTCCGCCTTTTTATGGATAAATTGTGTGTTTTCTTGGCTGGAATCTATCTATGTATCTATCAATCAATCAATCAATCTATCTATCTATTTATCTATCTCCCTCTCTCTAAATATATGTATGTATTGTATTGTATTGTATTTGGTAATTGTATTGTATTGTATTGGATGGATGTATGGATGTATGGATGTATGGATGCATGCATGCATGTATGTGTGTGTGTGTATGTGTGTATGTGTGTATGTGTGTGTATGTATGTATGTAAGTACGGATGGATGGATGGATGGATGCATGCATGCATGTATGTACGTACGTACGTATGTATGTACTGTATGTATGTATGTATGTATGTATGTTTGTAGGTGTGTATGTATGTCTGTATGTATGTATGTATGCATGCATGCATGCATGCATGTATTATGTATGTATGTATGTGTGCATGTACGTACGTACGTACGTACGTACGTACGTACGTACGTATGTATGTATGTGTGTGTGTGTGTCTATGTGTAGGTGTCTATGTGTAGATGTGTACGTGTGTATGTGTGCATGTGTGCATGTGTGCATGTATGTATGTGTGTATGTATGTATGTCTGTCTTTCTGTCTGTATGTATGTATGTATGTGTGTATGTGTGTATGTGTGTGTATGTGTGTGTGTATGTGTGTAATTATGTGTGTAATTATGTGTGTAATTGTGTGTGTAATTGTGTGTGTAATTATGTGTGTATGTGTGTACCTGTGTACGTGTGTGCGCGTGTATGTGTGTATGTGTGTATGTGTGTATGTGTGTATGTGTGTATGTGTGTATGTGTGTATGTGTGTATGTATACACATGCCCGACCATATCAACCCATAGCTTTACCAAGCATTCCCTACTTGGTTGGGGTACACCCCTATTCCAGTGAAATCTGCAAATGTTTGCTTTGTCAATAGCCATTTTGGGAAAATACCCTAACAAACCCAAATATTATCGTGCATGTAAATTACAGTAAGCATCAATCATCCACTGACCAATGACTATTCAACAAGCCACATGCATCACAAATCTGCTCATTGTCCGATTATATCTCCCCAAATATGACCATCATTAAAGTAATTATCTTAAATCTCCTCACGGTTGCCGGTTGCTGGTTCCCAAAATGTAAAGTTGTTTAATAAGCACTGAACATTGTCATTCAAACTTTGTTGAGTATACTGGATCTATTCAATCTATTTTTTTGTGCTCCATGCTGGGAGTACTGTATTCAATATAAGATATTATGATTTTTATGTAGTTCATTCCAGGATAGTCAAACCACATCAAACTACGTTGAACCACCATTTTTCATAGTGAACACCCCCACTGAAACTTGGCTCCGGCAGTGCCCCCGTGGCGTGTCGAATTTTTTAGTCTGGCGAGTCAGGTGAGAGCTCGTCGCTGCCGGCACTTTTTGGCGAGGCAGCAGCACGGTGGGCCTGCAAGGATGGGAAGATGACCACTGATGTCTCAGTTAGCTGCATGTAAAATGGATGAGAAAACATGGAGAAAACATGGAGAAACAATGAGAAAAAGGGGAACATGGGTATTCAACTGCCGACATGGTTTGATATAGAAGAATTGCCGACTGCTAGAATCGTTCAGAGTCATACTTAGCCAATCTTAGCCAGCAAAAGGAGTGGCACCGGCAACAAACCTAATTCAGCCTTTCCAAAATGAAATGACTGGAAGTCGGCCCATCAATGGGAATCAAGTCATAATGGTGGCTCCAGGCACGCTGCAAAACAACATGGCTCATCCCAGAAAGAAACCCTTCCAACCCTCGCGCGGCCTGTATTGTTTGAAGGATGTTGAAGGTGTGGTATTTTTTTTGTGCCATATGAGCTGTTCCTACATAGAAGTTTCCAAAAACGATATCATGCCTGGAGCTTTAGGGAAAGCGGCGATTTGGCTCTGAGTCCTACATAAATAAGGACGGTTCCATGTACAGCTACACAATATTGATTTGCAGAAGGAATCCGTCCTAAGATGTAAATGATGTAAGAAAACGTGGTTTTCTTGTCGCGTTTTTTTTCCACAATACCATTGTATTGATCATTGTTCAACAGGATGATGTTCTATTTTTGACAGCAAATTGCTGCCCGAAGCGCTGCACCGGATCTCAACCCACTTCTTTTCGTTCGGACACCGTTTGACATCCCGGCGGGAACGCATCGACAGCAAGTTCTGCTTCCGGGAGGTGAACCAGAATCTAACTTGGACAGAGTCATTGTGCACCAAAAACACGCAGCGAATGACATACTACTGTATAATTAAGTAACTGCAGTCACTGCAGTAGTAGCAATGTAAAGTGTGCAAACGTATCTACCCAGGTGCAAAAGTATGGATATATGTGCATAATTGTATATACAGTATATATATATATTTTTATACATGTAACATGCTGCAATATGGTGTAATACTTTTTCCTCTCATAGTACGTATCGAAACTCAGCCAACAAAATAAATGACACATTCAAGTATTGTCTTCTTCAAATTGCTCCCCGTGTTTCTCCTCACTACATAATTTTAGCCCTATACATTCTCAAGCGGAATATGTAATAAAGAGAATTTCTTCTTTCAGGATTGTGGGGTTTGCGGTGCAAGACCGGCAAACCCTGAATTCAGTTTGGCACTGGGGTTGGCAAACTATCAGGATCAGTTGGGAGGATTTATGTGTTTCGCACCTTGCATTGGAAGTGTACAGGCATGCGAGCAAGTACATAACAAACATAAAAACATCAAGTGCATAATCATCCATGTGCGTCACAACGTTTGTCAACCTAGAGAGAGACCCTCCAGCAAACTAAAATAAATATGGAATCCTGGATTTCACTGTAGGAAACTCATGAAATGTCGATCTGCGCATGAATAAACAGTTGTCGCTTTCTGCTGTTGAGGCAGAACTTGCCACTTCTGCTTGAGAAGTTGAACAAATTCAACCAAGTCGTGGAAAAGAAAAATGAGAAACCTGGGCCTTCGGCCACGAGATTCCCACGATAGGATCCTTTTATTGAGATGGGTCAAAAAATGGACACCAAAAATAACAATGGTTCATAGAAATGATGAGGCACAAGTATACATATCAAACGATCATATCAACCCGTATTAACCCATTACCAGCCCCCACATAAGATGGTATTGGTCATTTCAATATTGCTCAATAATGCTCAATATACATCCGCAGGGTGTTGTTTCATCCTCGCGCACGAATTTGTGCGAGCTCTTTTGGACGCATCCCCATCTCCAGCATGAATGACTTAGGCCAAAGATGGCCCCAGCCGCAACAAAAATGTGGGCGGCCTCTGCCCTATGGCAGCTGACCCCAAGGGTTGCGACTAGCGAGCTAAGTTGAAGCCATCTGTCCACGACTTGGCCTCGGATCGGAGGATCGGAGGTTGTGGATAGGATCCGTGGCTGGGGGTCTATTCCTGGCCAATCTTAGATAAAAACAATCAAAGCAAAAAAACAAAAGATTACAATATCCATAATCATAGAGTGGCTGTAAAACAAAACAAGATTGCCTCAGCATTCCCCCGAGATTAGCTGAGATATCATGGGTGTCGACGCTGTTAAGGGGCCGTGTGCTGTCTCCATTTTTTCGGTTTTGTGTTCTTCTTGTCATTGTGATTGTGAACCGGGTGGGGAGGGTGGGGGGGGATGTTAACGTTCTTTGCGACTGCAAGGTTCTCTTGCACTTCCACACATACGTCATGCGACGCTACTGCTAGGTTTCTCTTGCACTTCGACACATACGTCATGCTACGTTACTGCTAGTTTCTCTTGCACATTCACACATACGTCGTGCTACGCTACTGCTAGGTTTCTCTTGCACATTCACACATACGTCATGCTACGCTACTGCTAGGTTTCTCTTGCACTTCCACACATACGTCATGCGACGCTACTGCTAGGTTTCTCTTGCACTTCCACACATACGTTATGCTACGCTACTGCTAGTGTCTCTTGCACATTCACACATACGTCGTGCTACGCTACTGCTAGGTTTCTCTTCCACTTCCACACATACGTCATGCGACGCTACTGCTAGTTTCTCTCCCACATTCACACATACGTCATGCTACGCTACTGCTAGTTTCTCTTGCATTTCCACAAATACGTCATGCTACGCTACTGCTAGTTTCTCTTGCACATTCACACATACTAGTACGTCGTGCTACGCTACTGCTAGTTTCTCTTGCACTTCCACACATACGTCATGCTACGCTACTGCTAGGTTTCTCTTACGTCAATCTTCATGTCACACAAAGTTTCGGAAACAAGGGTTGTCATTAAACAATGCCATTTTATGAGGTAAAACGCTCAAAAGTCAATATTTTCGGTGAACACTACGTGGTTTTAAGCTCATTGAAAACACCATGATATGATGAAAATGTTGAAAAACCCGCACGAAATTGAAATTGAACACTTATGATGGAATGTCGATCTTACACCACTGCACGGCCTCTTATCAACGCCGTTACCATATCATGGAGTCCACACGAGATACCTACCGTACCCCATTGTCCCTCAGGTCAAGAACTTTTTGATGACTTCAGGGGTCCACCACGAGATTTTCGGGTGGGCAGTCTGGTTCTAACATCTCTGGGAAAGACGAATGATTTCAAACATGAGCTTGGATTTCTTGTGACCCTTGTGTTTCTCAATCTTTCATCAGCTTTAGCACTCACATCCTTTTTTTGGGGGTTCGAGTCGCCAAATACCGAATCATCTCATCCAAATCAATGGTTCCATCACCGTTTGCATCCTTGGCAAACAGTTGTGGCATCTTGAGACGTCAACTGGGCTGAGATGAATCGGTTTCTTTTCCAAGTCATGAGGACCGAGGCCAATGGTTTTGGGGATTTGGGGAGCCCCTTACTGTATGCTGGCAGGTTCCAGCAAACAAAATAGATGCGGTACATTATCATTTTATAGGAACGCATAGTGACACATAGTATACCAACAAGCATAGAAAGTATGTGTCCACTATTTTCAAGTATATAGGATAATATATATATATATATAATTATTTTTTTTTCAAGAGGATTGTTCTTGGATCAATTGGTGCAGAGGGGAACCACCCAGGGCACTGGATTCCAATTCCGGGACATGCAACAAGGTATGACCCAAAGGTTCGGTACCAAAGGCATCCCAGATTGCACTGATCTCTTGGGAGGAACACCATCCACTGTCCATTGGCCAGTCCGTTTCGCGTTGTATCCAAAATGTTCCTGATAAGCACTGATAGGTTTCCCCTTAGTGTGAAAGGTTTCCACCGTGCCACCATCTTTTTTGATGGGTCACCGTCAGTCCTTTAGCGCATCCACCCCGGAGCTGCCGCAACCAAGGGTCGATGATATGAAACACCTCTTCTATTCGATCTCCTGAGGGATTAACAAGTTGCATTTGTTGCCAAAGGTTCACAGCACTTGTTTTGGTACTGCAGTGATGACATCGCATAAGAATGGGGTTCCAATGGGGTTCCTTTATATATATATATATACATACATATATATACATACTGTATGTATATATATATATATATATATTCAGACAAACCCAGTTCCAAATGCAGCTGAAGCGCTAGGCACCGTGCTAGGAGCACATTGTTCGAAGGCATGCCTTGATTTGGGTGACCGATGACTGTGCACCGGTGCACCAATCTCTGTATGTGTGTGTGTATGTGTGATATGCAGCTGTTGTCATGGAAATTAGGATTCAGCGGGAAAAATATAATTGGACTTAATGGGATTTAACTAAGCAACAATGCGATTAGCGAGCCGATGCAAGCTGTTCAGTGATGTTCAGTGCAAGCAAAACATGTGCATAAGACAGTGCATAAATTGCAGACTGAATTAATGAACAAAACACGGCTTCTATGCACACAGGGGTCATCAGTGACCTTGGGTTTTGGTTGAAGAGGCATTTGGACGGCGGCAGCCCAGCCACAGAAGCTCAGACAAGTCCAAGCTGCCATTCCTGTTGCAGAATTCAGGGTCAGCAACAGAGCGACATGTCTATGCCCCTGTGCTAAAACGGGGCCAAATTCCATAATGCAGTAACACATGGGATGGGATTTTGATAGCCAATTGTATTCCGTTTGAAGTTGTTCCACCGAAATCCGAGGTCTACCACAGCATGGTTTACCAGTAGGATGAGTACAAAAGGATGTGCGCGAAGAGGGTTGGGCAGCGTCCAGGGCGTGAAGTGGCTGAAACCCCTTCCCGATGAACATGGCACTAATGACCAAATTGCTTCAAACAAGAAAACATCGTATTGGGTACTGGACATGGCCCATGCAAAACAATTCAATTGGCTAGAGCCTCGAAGAGTACTATGTTTAGATATCATGGTGAGAAGACCCCTTTATCTCATCGATAGGCAGCCCCTACAGTTGCAGCTCACCTGTTCTGACATTTTGGATTCACTTTGTAGAACATGCTGGTGTAACACATTTTGGAGGGGGGACTGGGAACAAGCAAGACCAACTATCCGGGAAGCAATGTTCCCAGTTGCTCTCATATTGCTGTTGGTAGATGTTATGGCAGGGCTGCACAGGTATATTAATCAAAAGCGGCACTCTTCAGTTGTTTTTTTTTCCGAAGAAATAGTTATATATCATCTTCTTACCACGCAGCCAGGGTTTACTTAGTAGTAGGAACGACGGTTTCATTAACCCTCCCCATGCCCACTACGCAAAACATCCAATTAGACTTTAGGCATACCCTGGTCAGTCGAGCTCAATCTGAACAGGTTACATACCATATATCAAATGATAGCTATAAGATAGCAGCCCGCCACATACAATAAAATGTGTAAATCAACCTACCAAATTTAGTAGTTGACTGACATAATATCTTCCCTTTTGGGCCGGATAATTATAATAAACAATCTCTCTCTATCTATCTATATATATATGATTATATATGTATTTACGAAAATAACAAGTAAACAAAATTCATAATAACCTGCATTCTACCATACACTAACTCTATGATAGAATAATTAGTGACTAATGACTAATGATGGTGTTTTGACATGTTTTGACACAAACCATCTTCCGAAAGTTTCCCCGATTCACCAAGAGGTGGATTTACCAATTTACCAATGGGACAATCATCATAGCCATAACAAATTCCACCCTACCAGTGACATAGGATATGAATGGGATATGATGACTACAATCAGTAGTTCGCAATATCATTTACACACCGGTACTACCTATACTGACATATCATGACAGTAACCAAAGCACATGCAAACAGTCTAGTCAATTTCAAGGTATCTGGATCTGACTCCAACCAACCTTCCAATAAAGAGTGAGTGTAAAACAATGTCATAAACCATCCCCCAGCCATCACCATTTGTATAGGTGGTATAAACTACCATTTCCACTCATGGGTGGCTATACCACGGCTATGTAATGTCAACCCCGGATATATAGACCATGGCTAACGGCAATAGACCATGGCTTATGTCGTCCTTGTTGCTGTTGCTGGATATCCCTTGACGTTCCGAGCATCTTATCGCTGTCAAAGAGGTCAAAGGCATCGCGGAGATCTTCCAGTCCAGGCAGTCCCGCGGCCTGGCCGGAAAACCGTGCGACGCAAGACTGGGGCTTTTTTTGTTGTACATATACTGTGTACAAACTATGGCTGAATTATACGAACCTGAAAATAGCTGAAATAAGACCATTTGGGAATATGTCCCCTTACTATCTACCCATCACATATATGCATCAATGGAACATCATTTATAAATGGGTGGTTTTGAAGGGAACATCATCTATCAATGGTGGGTGTTCCATTGAAAACTTGCCACATGGGGTAGGTGAATGGGATAATCACATGGGATAAACGATTCTAGGATCATTTGCCAATAATGTGATAGGTTATTACGGGAACATATAATTCCCCTTATTATCCCATCAACTCCCTATTATATGATATAATGGGAAACTATGGGGATAAATCGGATATTAATCAATATTAATCTAAGAACTATATATATATATATATAGACATCCTATGCACTTTTCGGGTTGTTGGGGGCGGGTATAGTAGGATAAAGGAGAATTGAGCAATTTCTACAACCCAAACATGCGGGAAATAACACATAAGAGAAAATACGGAGACTAGCAAGAATGGGACATGGGACCTTCACAAACATGCAAAGAAAAAACAACATCATGGGAAAATAAGAAAGAATAACGGAACGATGACCAGCAAACACTATGAAATTTCATGAACAGAGGATGGATCAGCCATTCCAAGTGATTGGGCGGCAATGTGCGGAGTGCATCACGATCTGAGAGCATTTGCGCACCAACATGGAACCACCCGAAAAAGGATTTGGATGGAATTGGAACATGATTGGATTGCAGGACACCGCAATTTTGGGGTCCTACTGTACCTCTTCTACATAAAAGTTAGACGACCAGAAATGTGATGTAATAATGTCTACAAAGCTATAAAACCTGGAACACGGACCCATGGACGATGGCTCGCCACGGCCTTCACCGACTTAAGGTACAAAGAAATAAAGTTTTGACACGTCAGCTCAGTGCGATCTGCAAAGCAACTTGCACATACCTTGGAAGCATCGGATAGGCTTGGTGAGATTGGTGAGATGGACGATCATGTTCCTGGGGTGTCTGCGTCTTTTTCAAAAGAGAAATTTCACCATTGTTCAGAGATGTCTTGTCCTTGGCACATGTATATTATATACATAATACATATATTTGTGGGAAAATTATAGTGTTTGATCTTGAAGAGTAGCCGGGCTATTGTAGCTCTCTAAATCAGCCAAAAGTCGTGATCCGTATCCAACCAAGGAGGCCAAAGCGGAAGACCTACAATGTATGACTGAAGATTACAAGAGACCTTGTACTGTAGATTAATGTTTATGTCTGCTTATATTGTTTCTTTTCATCGGGGGTCAAAGCTAACTACCCGACATTGACATACTGGCCATAGGGGCGGTCTCGCAGCGATCTGGTAAAATACCGAAGAGCGACGCCAAGACCTGACGAAGCCCAGGGAGGGCACGGCATGGATCAAAATTTAAGAGCTAAGGGTCCTCAGATTCTGTCAGATTCTTAGTCTCTGCAATTCACTTGCTAGCTCAATAATGACTTATACCCAGGATGTTGATCAAGGTATACACGAACCCCCTCAGATTCGTTTAGTTTAGTCTATTCAATATGCAGGTTGGGGATGTTTGCCAGAGTGCCATGGTGAAATGACCCCCTGCCGTGTACATAGAAGCTTGGATGCACAAGGTTCCTCCACTTAAAAAAAAAAAACAAGTTCAAAGTTTCGCTTAGTTGACCGGGGGGAAAATGGTGACGGGCAAAATTACAGCCCCCCGGCCCTGCATGTAGTTGCATCTCGCTTGCAGCAATGACAACATGTCTGCAGAAAAAGATCCCACGGTCATGAAATGCTTTGGCAATCTTTGGCGCTTCTGTCGCTGTAGAACCGATGCAATTGGGAGCATGTCATCGGAGCATGTTGAAGAGAAAGCCAATCATCAACATAGCCAAAGCAATCAATTAAACAGTTCACCGCGCGCAGCGGCCCAGCACCATTTGCAAACTTTTGCAACATCATCGCTTTCTATTGTTTTTTCAAATTCGCCCCTCTTTGCAGGGTTTTTTAAACATCAGCAATTTGCATTTTCACTGGTATTTGCACTAGTTGTGCATCGTTTTGACCAACTTACAGAGGCCGAAATGTTGTTGTTGTTGTTGTTGTTGTTGTTGTTGTTGTTGTTGTTGTTGTTGTGGTCGTCGTCGTCGTCGTCGCCGCCGCCGTCGTCTTCGTCTTCTATCGTGCCAAAAAAAGACTTCTTGATTCTTGATATGTTTCAACTGCTAATGTTGGAAGTTCCTTGAGGAAGTTAAGAGCGTAGCATCAAGAGGGTGTTGGAAGTTGCTCGAACAATGATATTGATATTACCATTGTTAGCCCACCCCACCCACACCCAAACCTATGATATCATATGATCATTCGATGACAATGCTGTGAAACGTGCGCAACATCTCTGAAACGTTCACAACAACTCTGAAATATGCACCTCGGACATGTGCGAGAAATGACAAGAGCGCAATGGTACTGCACATGTGACATGCAACCCAAGCATGAAACTGCATGTTATCCACAATCCACAATCCAAAAACAGCAAAATTCGTGGGACTGTTGTAGGCAACTACAAGACTATAAACAACTCATCAGCTTATCTCAGTTCAACATTTCAAGTCTACAAAACAACAAAAACATACAAAACAACAAAAACATACAAAAACAACATCCACAGCATGACTACACTTTCCTACATTAAACAAACGGCTGGGAAATGCCATGTTATGCTAAGCACTTGAGCTCACCCGCCATGGCCTTGCGCAGGTTGGGCTGGCTGATGCTGCCCGTGCCATCATGGTCATAGAGCTTAAAGGCGCACCTGGGTATTTCCGAGTGGATAGAGCCTTTTCCAAATGAACTTTATCCAGCAACAAAACTGGGATAATGCTGGGATAATGGGATAATACTGGGTTTTAAATCACATATATAATCACATTATGCGCAATTTGGAATGCTTAGTCTCTGCTAATAGTCTCTGATGATCTAAGCATGCAAGGATCTCCCCCTTTCAATGATCTTCCCAATGCTCCTTCCCAACAGCAGTCCGACTTTTGGGCTTCAATCTCTGGGTCGGGGTATGCCGAGCGGAGCGTCATTTACCATAAATCAAAAGGAAAGCTCCAACATTATATTTCAGTAGGACAATTGCCTTCCACACCCATTGTTATTCCTTGCCATGTCTTTAAAGAAGTCTAGCCTATTGTGAGATTTCAGGCACAGCTTTCGAGTACAAACCGCAAAATATTGCAGCCATTTCTTTCCGGCCTTGCTTTTCATCTGGCTCATTTAGAATGGGGAACCACCATTTCTAGTTGGTGGTTTCAACCCCTCTGAAAAATATTAGTCAATGGGAAGGATTATCCCATATATTATGGAAAAATAAAACGTGTTCCAAACCACCAACCATATTTTCATAGCACACTAGCACTTTTTGAGGCACCAGGTGTGGTCGTTGGCTGCGAAAAGGTGCCACATGGTGCCACCAAGAGACTCCAACTGATGCTGGTTCAGCGGCACCTGAACAACCGCAAGTGCCAACTGAAGTCGTAACCAGTAACTCAGTATGATTTAACTTAACATTGTGATGGGAAAACAAAAAGCAATGCATAAGATTCATCAACATCTGCAAATTTCAACATTAAATTTGATGCTTGCAATGTACAAATGTTCAAGCCCATGCTTGCGGTGATCCAACTAGAATTTTATTGTAATACTACAATGTACAGCAACAAACAGGCCCAATAGCGCCCAATGCCTGTGTCATACAAATTAATGTTATTTAATGTTGCTCATGGCCAGGGGCAGGCCCCTTCCGGCCTGGGCTTCCTTGCCCGCAAGGCTCAAGAACCATTCCTCCACTAAGCAGAACCCCGGAAATGCTGGAAATGGACAGGCAATAGGGGGTTTGGGGTATCAATCCTCCCCATGGCTACCACTTGTGAATCCTGGGGCACCTATGCAATCTGTAAAGTTCAAGGCAGCTCTTTACTCGTGCGTTCATGTGCAAGAACTTCCTCGGGGCTTTAACTCATCCGAACAAATGCTCTTTGAAACAGAGACATGTTTTGCAACCTGAAAAACAATATAAAAAAAGGCACCCAAACATCCCAAACATCTCAGAGTCTCATTAGACATATCATGGCTCATGCACTTGGTGGCCCCTCCCTGAAACATATCGTCAATGGGGTCGTCATCACATGGTTGGATAGAACATCAACAAAATGTCAAAGCCATGTCAAAGCACCAAGCAGTACCCCACTTACAAACCATCCATATCCATATCCATATGGCCACAGTCACCATCAAAGATTTTTCGCAGGTCAAGTATCTTTGGCCACCTCACGCATCGTGTGATGCTGGGATCTGGTGCGAAATTGCGCCACGATGGGAACGTGATCTGACGGTTGCTGCCTTGGCACAGGGATTGAAAACCCGCTCCGGTGACCCAGGCCCCTCCCCCCCCCAAAAAAAAGGTGGGCTTCATGAAGAGCTTATTTGACATTTATCAACCGACAACAACCACTGTATACTTAGTTTTGGGTACCGACAACCCAGGAGTGATAAGCCCCCAGCTTATTTATAAGGGGGTAGCAAGTTTAGCAGCAAGTTATCACTGAACTTCCCAAAAAAAAAGTCAGGGTTTATTGACTGGGGCTTGACATTAGTCCTCTCGGTGTCCTCCCTTCATCATCCCACCTTTGGATTGCACACGTAGATGCATCAAGAAAACGTTATATACATAACAAAATATATGTAATATAATGTGTATATATATATTTATATTATATATACTTATATAATACATGTATGATATGATATAGAATGCCATGCCATATACATCGAGTTTAATATGTGTATAATTGCAAATAAATCCGTCCGTGTGTGTGTGTGTTTGTCTTTCTATATGTATATCCTTACCCATGTAAGAAAACTGAGAGAAACAATTGAAACCACGAACAATCTATATAATACATACATGCATCATATTAGCAGTTACCTCCATGTCCTTTGCCGCATCTGGTGGGCCCCTTCGTCCCAAGCTGCGCGTTGGGGATGGGCAGGTGCGGCGTCAAGTCGGGGATCTCCTGATGGCCAGGAAGCACGGCATTCAATCTTTCCGATGTAGTGGGAAATTGGTGATATTCAAAGTAGATATCTCTCATATTCTTACACTTTAAATATGTATCAATATCTCTCTATATCATCCTATATCCATATCATGTCATTATCTAAATAAAATGTCATGTAGTAATCATAATCATAAAAGTACACATGCACATATCATATAATCTCAATTAATATCATATGTTTTGTCTATGGTCTTTTCTTCACAACGCTTCATCTGCCACACCGCTGTCCCCGTGACCTGAACGTCAACCAGTTCTAAGCGCTGGGATTGATACAGAATCGCATCAATTCCTCAGTAAAGATCAAGAGTGCCAGGCATGGCCGTGGACCCCATGGACCCCATGGACCCCATGGACCCCATGGACCCCATGGACCCCATGGACCCCATGGACCCCATGGACCATGGCTTGAAAATTTAGCAGAAAGCCAAAAGTTCACAACGTTTTGCTGTCTGCTGGCTGAAGATCATTGGGATAGCAATGGATAACATCAACAAAACTCACCCATTCTTGGGGTACTCAAATCTGAGCTGGACTTAACCATCATGGAATCATGGAATCCCTAGCGCTGATCGGAGGATGGCAACTGTCCGGGAACAAAGAAATCTTATTTAACCGCTAGTACAAGTACAACCCTGATCAATGCCCATCGACCTTTTGGCCACTGCGAACTGTTTGGGCCAAAGCTGGCTGGAAGTGCTCTTTTGTGGCTAGTGTCCATCATAGTCATCATAGTTTCTCACAAGCTGAATCCGCAAAAAGAACTACAGATATCAGAACTTAGTTGCCTGCACACTTGATCCTTTTGCACATGTTTCCGCAATGTGTAGCCCTTCTTTGTGTTTTTCCGCCATCAGCTTGGGAAAAGATATGGCTGCCCCACAGCTCCGCTAAGCTCCGCTAAGCTTCGCATACATCTAGCCATGGTCACTGAGGTGACGCCTGTGGGCACATCTGCACAGTCAAAGGTAAAGGGGTGAAGAACCACCTGTGCAGCCGAAGCCGTGGCCAACCAATGACTAGCGGCCAGGACTGCCAACTCTGATCCCACTAGAATCACTAGATACGAAATGATACGAATGAATGCTGGAACTATGCTTCAGAAGGTGGGCACTAAGCCAACTATCCAAACTATCCAATCTTTTATATGTCAAAGACATCTGATTTGTTTGCATTGAGACGAGGTTCTGGACACCCGAAAAACAGTTCACAAGGCAGTACTTTTAGAACCCATCAAATATTAATCGCAAAACCTAGCTATCCCCCCAAAGATAGCATAAGCATTTAGACTAGAAGATTGGTATACCCTGGAGGCATCATTTCTGGCAAGCATATCAATATGAACAAAAAATAAACACGTCTGCCAACATTAATTATATTGCTATGTTTATGTCTTAAAGTTGCATACTTTGGATGGAAAAAATCCTGCACCACCTTGGATGGTTGAACCCAAGAAAATAAGATAAACCACCTATCAACTGGTGCAGAATTTATTGCATTCACAGTATCACATTATACCTATATGTCTCTCTGCCACAGTCTGAATGCTGCAGAACCATCATTCACCTGCAAAGGCACCTCCCGATTCATCAGGCTCAGCGTGTTCGCTATGCCCCTCAAGCGACCAAAAGAGGTACAGTTCCTGGGTGACTGACAATTGTTTTTATTCGGCCGAATCCTGTGAAACACATCCTTTGGAGATATGGATGTGTATAAATAATAAATATATATATATATTGTCTGTATTTATCTGTACTGTATGATATATGTAATTATATGTATATATTACGTAAATATACTAAATATATTATATGTGTGTAAAACCCGTAAACTTGGTAAACTGTATACATATATATATATAAGCATCGGTACATCATCTTATCTGTATATACCCATTCATGTACACATCACATGTTGGAACCATAAACTTACGCAACAACTACATCCACTACGGTGAGCACACGGTCACCAGAGAGAGTACCCTGACAGCCAAACTTGAAATGACAAAAGGACCTGTGGTCCCTTGCTTGCCGAAAAACACATTGTCAAATCCCAGAATTGGCTACAGTAATGGAAAATCTGAAGTGTACTCCTCTATTTGGGGTTAAAGGGGTTAAGAATCATTGTTTCCTTCAAGTTGTTGCATCAGCCAATCCATTGAACCCCTAAAACCATGTGGTTTATCATAGCTTGTCTCTTTAAAATATTCTAAACTTGCTATTTGGAGGCCAAATCCCCCATTTTCAGAGACACCCAACAGTTTCTTCCTGCCGTTCTGCTTATGGTCACCCTGAACGTCCACGCTTGTCCACTGTCCACCAGGGATCAAATCACCCGTGAGAACCACAGGAACGTCCAAGGCACCATGCCTCGAAAAAACAACGTTGGTTTTACAAGTTAGCCTCTGGTAAACTAACAGTTTGCTCTGGAAAATCATCATCTTAATGCTCGGTAAATCAACTATAAATAGGTAAATCAACTATAAACAAAAATTATGGAAAATCACCATCTTCAAGGTCGGCAAATCAACGAACCGTATATGGGCCATGGCTTCAATAGCAAAACTGTTAGTCATTACCAGAGGGTATATCAAGTTGTCCTCTGGTTATTTAAAATAGGTATATATAGGTATGGAACATGGTCAATTTGTAGATGAATTATCATGACCTACCTATTAGCTCAATGGCACATTGAGGAACCTACCATATATGACGCCCATTTTTGAGGGCCAAATTTCAGGCAATATCCACAAAATATTGCCTCACATGGTACAATACCTCCACTTTAATTTAGGGTCCTGGAAGTCCCACTGAATCGAATTACCCTCAGGTTATTTAACATAGCTATGGAAAATGGCCCATGTATAAATGATCTGTGATGATTTACCTAGTAGTATGAATGGTAATTGCCCATAGCTACGTTACATAACCGGAAGTTATGTTATAGTGATTTACCAAGAATAAACCACCCATAAATGGGATGTGAAAATCTTCCTCAAATGACTCAAAAGGGTGTCGCATACTTGATTTACGGCAGGATGAGTCCATGGCATACAGACCTGCAACCTGTACATTGTCTGTATGTGCAAATGATGTTCCCAAATTCTGCTGACATCGTCTCTGAGTCCCTTTCTACTGAGAACAGCGCCTACAACACAGATTTATCAAAGCAACTGTCTTATACAGGGATGTACATCAGTTCCCGTTTAGTCTGCAACCAGGGATACCAGGGCAATATAGAAAATCATACTTGCTTGGCATTTGCGGCGGCTATAAATGGGTTTCCAGTTCTGCTTGCTCTAGGAATTTGACGAACTGCACCCAATCCTAGTGGGTTGCACCAAAACACATCCATCCACGATACTTCGCGGTACCAAAATGAATTGACTTACCCCGCTTGACATGGATTCATTTCAGGGAACCATCATGAAACATTTAGTATGATGGGAAGAATTTCTGGCGTATATAGGTCAACTAACAATTCATTGCACGGATACATGCACGTGTTAGGTATCGGTATAAGACACAACCATGACCACAAACAAGAACCGCTACACATTGCCGATCTTTGGTTCTAGGTTTAATCAGCAACCAAGAGGCTGACTGGTAAATTCCACTAGTGCTCGGAGCACTTGTCCCCCCTGTCTCTGAAGATGCAGTGTACCGCCACAATTCGGGATTTCGATGAGAATTCATGAAAAATCAGAATGGGACCAAAGAAAAACTATGCGTACAACTAACCAGCAAGAAAAATAA